GTAGACGATGAGATTCTTACTATGATAGAGGATATGATTGGGGCTATGACAGATACGAAGATTATGATTACCAGTACAGAAAGAGGTCGCCTTCTCCTTATTACAGTCGGTTTAGATCACGGTCAAGATCTCTTTCCTATAGCCCAAGACGCTATTGATATGATAGTGGTTGTGGCTAAGGACTCTTTTTCCCTCCTTTTTCTTTTTTTTTAAATTTATTTATTTATTAAAGATTTCCGACTCCTCCCCGCCACCGCCTCCCATTTCCCTCCCCCTCCCCCCGATCAAATTCCCCTCCCTCATCAACTCGAAGAGCAATCAAGGGTTCCCTGACCTGTGGGAAGTCCAAGGACCACTCACCTCCATCCAGGTCTAGTAAGGTGAGCATCCAAACTGCCTAGGCTCCCCCAAAGCCAGTACGTGCAGTAGGATCAAAAACCCATTGCCATTGTTCTTGAGTTCTCAGTAGTCCTCAGTGTCCACTATGTTCAGCAAGTTCAGTTTTATCCCATGCTTTTTCAGACCCAGGCCAGCTGGCCTTGGTGGGGTTCAGGATAGAACATCCCCATTGTCTCAAGAGAGGCCCTATCATACAACAAAAGTATATGCTCAAAAAAAAAAAGTATATGCTCAACTATGTTCATAACAACATTGTTTGTAATAGCCAGAACCTGGAAACAACCTAGATGCCCTTCAATGGAAGAATGGATGAAGAAAGTATGGAATATATATATATATTAGAGTACTACTCAGCAGTAAAAAACAAGGACTTCTTGAATTTTGCATGCAAATGGATGGAAATAGAAAACACTATCCTGAGTGAGGTAAGCCAGACCCAAAAAGAGGAACATGGGGTGTACTCACTCATATTTGGTTTCTAGCCATAAATAAAGGACATTGAGCCTATAATTCGCGATCCTAGAGAAGCTAAATAAGAAGGTGAACCCAAAGACAAACATATAGGCATCCTCCTGAATATTAACCTTCATCAGGCGATGAAAGGAGACAGAGACAGAGACCCACATGGGAGCACCGGACTGAAATCTCAAGGTCCAAATCAGGAGCAGAAGGAGAGAGAGCAGGAGCAAGGAACTCAGGACCGTGAGGGGTGCACCCACACACAGAGACAATGGGGAGGTTCTATTGGGAATCCTTTTTCTTTTTGATTCTGGATTTCCAAGCTTCTAATGCTTCCTAGTCCTCAAAACAAAACCTTGGTTATTTAATCTGTGGCCAATTGTGTTTCCGTTTTACACCCTTTGTTACTCTCTTAATGGTGTAATTGTCATTTAAGTTGTTCAACATCTAAGTAAAAAAGGAGCCCAGTGTTACACCTGTGGTTCTTTCTGCATTTACGGAAATTGACTCACTACTATGAAGAAAGAAACGATCTTTTGAAAACTTTTGTGATGGATATTGTAGTACACATCCTATTAGTAGAAATCCGCAGTCGTGACAAACTGCTTTTTAACCTTCTTTTTTTTTATTTTTTTATTGAAAAAAAATTTCTGCCTCCTCCCAGCCTCCCATTTCCCTCCCCCTCCTCCCGCCCTTCTCCCCCTCCCCCCACTCCTCTCCCCCTCCCTCTCTAGTCCAAAGAGCAGTCAGGGTTCCCTGCCCTGTGGAAAGTCCAAGGTCCTTCCCCCTCCGTCCAGGTCTAGGAAGGTGAACATCCAAACTGGCTAGGCTCCCACAAAGCCAGAACATGAAGTAGGATCAAAACCCCATGCCATTGTCCTTGGCTTCTCATCAGCCCTCATTGTCAGCCATGTTCAGAGAGTCTGGTTTTATCCCATGCTTATTCAGTCACAGTCCAGCTGGCCTTGGTGAGCTCCCAATAGATCAGCCCCACTGTCTCGGTGGGTGGGTGCACCCCTCATGGTCCTGACTTCCTTGCTCATCTTCTCCCTCCTTCTGCTCCTCATTGGGACCTTGGGAGCTCAGTCCAGTGCTCCAGTGTGGGTCTCTGTCTTTATCTCCATACATCGCCAAATGAAGGTTCTATGCTGATATGCAAGATAGTCGTCAGTATTGCTATAGGATAGGGTCATTTCAGGTTCCCTATCCTCAGCTGCCCAAGGAACTAACTGGGGACCTCGGCTTGGGCATCTGGGAGCCACTCTAGGTTCAAGTCTCTTGCCAACCCTAAGGTGGCTCCCTTAACTAAGATATGTGCTTCCCTGCTTCCCTATCCAAACTTCCTTTATCCCCAATCATCCCGTTTCCCCAAGTTCCTCCCATCTTCCCCTTCTCACTTTTCTCTCCCCATCTCCCCTTACCCCATCCCACCCCACCCCCAAGATCCCAATTTTTGCCCAGCAATCTTGTCTATTTCCCATAGCCAGGAGGATAACTATATGTTTTTCTTTGGGTTCACCTTCTTATTTAGCTTCTTTAGGATCACAAATTATAGACTCAGTGACCTTTATTTATGGCTAGAAACCAATTATGAGTGAGTACATCCCATGTTCATCTTTTTGGGTCTGGGTTACCTCACTCAGGATAGTGTTTTCTATTTCCATCCAATTGCATGCAAAATTCGAGAAGTCATTGTTTTTTACTGCAGCGTAGTACTCTAATATGTATATATTCCACACTTTCTTTGGGGGAAGATAAATAACACTTTAAGTAGTCAAGTTTGTCCGGAGTGGCATGGAACAGTTGATTAGTTGAGTGTAGAAAGTTTGAAGTTGTAGGAGAAAATATGAAGAATGTAACTTTGAACCTAAAAAAATTAGGTCACCTTTTAGGAATTAAAAGCTTGTAGATTCCTAGAAAACATGTTATATTTGAAGTTACATGTTAAACCTTATGATCTTAAAGTGTGATTTTTATGTTAAATTTACAAAAACTTAAGTATTCCCTTAATCATTGAAGGAAAACCTTTATTTATTACCTAGAAAAATTTTATAACTTGCTGTTAGAAATTTTGGTATTGGGTTATGGTTTTGTGGGTTATTGTATAGTATAGAATTCTAAAATACATGTGGGAAAGTGTAATTTCCAAATAAAAGTTAATTTGAAAAAAAAAAGGAGAAACTTCTAAGAAGACAATAGATGGAGTCTATCTTTCAGGAGGGGTTACTAAAGGAACAAAGCCTCCTCCTCCACCACCTCATCCTCCTCCACCACCTCCTCCTCCTCCACCTCCACCTCCTCCTTCTCCACCACCTCCTCCTCCTCCGCCACCTCCTCCTCCTCCGCCACCACCTCCTCCTCCACCACCTCCTCCTTCTCCACCACCTCCTCCTCCTCCGCCACCTCCTCCTCCTCCGCCACCACCTCCTCCTCCACCACCTCCTCCTTCTCCACCACCTCCTCCTCCTCCACCACCTCCTCCTCCTCCACCACCTCCTCCTTCTCCACCACCTCCTCCTCCTCCACCTCCTCCTCCGCCACCACCTCCTCCTCCTCCACCACCTCCTCCTCTGCCACCACCACCTCCTCCACCTCCTCCTCCTCCACCTCCTTCCTCCTCCTCCACCACCTCCTCCTCCTCCACCACCTCCTCCTCCTCCACCTCCTCCTCCTCCACCACCACCTCCTCCTCCACCACCTCCTCCTCCTCTGCCACCACCTCCTCCACCTCCTCCTCCACACCACCTCCTCCTCCTCCACCACCTCCTCCTCCTCTGCCACCACCCTCCTCCACCTCCTCCTCCTTCACCTCCTCCACCACTTCCATCACCACTATGAGTTGGTCTGCCCATGTAAATGCCTTGTGTAGGTGTGTGAGCTCTCTTGGTTATAGAATAATCCACACGAATTCTCCTACCATCCAGCTCCATTCCATTTGCTCTTTCCATAGCCTCCTTGGAGTCTATCCTCTCAAAATACACAAAAGCAAATCCACGTGACCTGTCAGTTCGCTGATCATAAACTACATTGACACCACTCAATGGTCCATATCGAGAAAATACTTCACGAAGATCTCTTTCTGTTGTGTACAAACTGAGGCCAAACACTCCCAGGCAAGTATTGGGATCTGGATTGGCCCTGCTGCCTGTATGTCTTCTGCGATTAGACATTGGAGAATGACTCCGGCTTCTTCGTCGACGATACTCTGGCGTATAGGATCTACTTCGAGATCGTCTCCTATGAGAGTGGGACCCGGACCGTCTATGAGAATGTCTCCTTGACCTTGACCTGGATTTTGATCTTGATCGAGAATGGGATTCAGAATGTTTGGAAACCCGTGATGGACTACGAGATCCTGACCTGCTCTCCGATTTTACGCGAGCAGGAGTTCCCGTTGGAGATTTTGACTGAGAGCGAGACTCTCTACCCTCGAAGTTGTTCTCTACATCACTCATGTCGGCCAGGAGCTCCCGAGAACTAGATAAGAGACAAGTCTAGGCTCGAGGGCCGACGGCCTAGTGACCCGCTGTCTGGACTGTGGGGAGGAGGAAGGCGGCGACAGCAACAACGGCCGGGGCGCTCCACTCGCACTAGCTCGCACGCACGAGCAAAAAATGAGAAGTTTCTCCTTCTGTGGCTAGATTTCCATTATTGACTCCTTCATTGTGTATTTTTAGTTGGTTAATTATTTTTTTTGCAGGACTGGGGAATGAGCTGAACGTCTGGTATATACTATATTAGTGTTCTATCTATACTCCTAGCTTTCTATCAAATGTTTGAAACATCCTATGTGTGGTTATTGATATGGTTATTGATAGTGTTCCACACACTGGGGAAGTGATGGGGAAAAACAAATGGAGAGAGAGAGAGAGAGAGAGAGAGAGAGAGAGAGAGAGAGATATCCTTGCTGCTGTGAGGTTTGCATTGGGCATGAGAAGCAGGATTGTATCTGCTCTGGCATCATGAACCCCACAGACAGCGGCTACATTTTTTAAAATCTATTTTTTCCCAGCACTTAGCAGGACACAGCTGTTTAACAAAGATGTTCTTAGAATGGGAGCCGATCCCAGAAGATCCGAGATGTGGCAATGGTGTGCATACAGGAAGGTAACAGTGCTCTTATTGTCTTAACTCATTTAAGTTGGCCTCTGTAATTTATTTATTCGTTTGTTTGTTTATTTACTTCTTGCGAAAAGCTGTGGAGCTACTTAAGAATAAGTGTTTCTTTTTAAAATGAAACAAGTATGATTTTGTACATCATTGTGGAATACTTAACGATGCTGAATTGTCCATTTTGAAGTGGCCAGGATGATCAATTTTTATAATATGGGTATTTTGTTACAAGAATAGATAAAGGAAGTGAACCTCTTCATTTCATTTGAGAAAGAAGCAGTCTCTAGCAATGCACTGTTTGGGGTGTGGCAATTCAAAGACAGATCACATGTGGGCCTTTCCTCTAGGGACTTAATGTGTCCAGCAGGGGAGAAACGTGAGCTACAGGGCAAGGAAGAACTGTCACTTGTGCCCAGGGAGAGCTTGGCCCACAGTGCCTTTGACCCCTAGGGACAGTCATTGTATTTAAACACACCAAGTACTTGGAACATTGTAGAAAACAGCCTTTTTATAGGGCAGTCGTCATATTTAAAAACAAATGATGGGAACATGAAGGAACGTTCGTAAGAGCAGGATTCCAAGGTGTTAGTTCAACGGTTGCCTGAGGAGCCCGGCCAAGTACGTGCTCCCATGGGAAAGCCACTTGGTTTTATGCTCATCTTGAAGCAATCAAATACTGCCTTTGCTGGCATGGGTGCGTCACACTGGCCTGACTCTTCAGAGACGGAGCAGACATGTTGAGGAGAATTGTCAGACTAATGGAAGGCTGAGAGACAAGAGGTACCAAGACCCATAGACTCCTGACACAAGGGTAAGGGAAGGCGGGAGGCATCTCAGGGACTGCCTGGCACTGCTCTCAGCTCAGATGGCAACCGGCGTCCTTGCTGTGGATCTGCAACGGCTCTTTCCCAGTAAACCAGATGGAGATGGCAGTACAAAAGCAGAGATGTACAATCTCCTGAGTGTCTACAGCATGAGGGCCCAAGGAGAAAACCAGCTACAGGTCGAGGGGAGCCGACTGGCTGTGTGTCGGGGGTGGGGGACGAGACATAAGCGAGTACTGTGTTTTGCTGTTCACCTCCCAGGTGTCTTTCTTCCGTCTTTTTAACTAAAGTCAAGGAGGATATTGGTGAAGGATGGTTACAAGACAGTTTTCCTTGTGTGAAGCAGTAGGAAGGATCCCAAGAGGATACCCTGGGTGGCGAACACTTCTATGTTCTTCTGGATGACACTGTATGACATGTCCCTTGAGGAAGACTTCTCCTTGGAAAATGATGCTTACTGTTTGAAGGGGGAGTGAATCTCTCCCTTCTTCTATAAGGGAGAATTACTTGGAAACTGACTCCCATTCATAATATTAGGATTTATTTATTTGCTTATATATTTGCACATGTGTGTATCTGAGTGTAATCATCTTTACCACATGCTTGCAGGTGCACGTGGAGACCAGGAGAGGGCCCTGGATCCTCTGGAACTGGAGTACAGGCATTTGTGAGGGGCCTGTTGTTGGAGTGGGAACCAAAGCCAGATCCCCTAGGAGAATAGCAAATGCTCTTAAGGGTTGGGTCCTCTTTCCAGGTCCTCCCTCCACTGACTTCCTGTTATTTACATAAACATACAGAGCTGCTTTTCAGAATTCCTCTGCTCTGTCTTAGGAATAGTCAGTCATGTAAGTATCTTAGAGCAAATCCTTTAAACTGCCAAAGCCTCAGTTTGCAAAGCTGTCAAATGGGCCAAGAAGATCCATTGGGCGGTTTTGGCTCTGAAATGTATTCTATTTGTTCTCTATAGATAATCCTATCTACCCAATTATAACGCTGGTAACTTGTGTCTATAATTACAGTAATAAAGCCCCCAGAGGCTGAGACAAACACTGAGAACACCAACCGTGGGACCACTTGGAGCCAGGAAGATAATGATACGTTGTATAGATGTGTTTTGTACACACACACTGACTCTGAAAATTTGCTCGGATCTAAAGAAGGTTTAGGAGGCTCCACCTCATTGGTACTGCTGGCAAGTCTGGTGACAGTGTCAACCATTTCTCGTTCTGAAATAAGGACCTTTTGGTTTTATAACTTTTAGCACTTTCTCTTTTATCTTCTCCTTCCACATTTATATCACTTCAATAAGCATTTCTTGAGTGTTTCCTAGGTACCAGGTTCCTATGCAGGGCCTGGGAGAAGAGCAGTAAACCAAGCAGAAATCCAGGCCTTCCCATGGCCAGGGTGGGGTGGGTGGGTGGGTGGGCTGTATGCAAGGCAGACTAGTTTAAACATCTGTAGCTGCTGTAACAGAGGACGTGGAGCCAGAGGTGTTGAGCTGGCACGGTGGGCGGGTAAGGCTGTCACCACCAGGCCTAACCATCTCCATTTGATTCCTGGAATCCACATGGTGGAACGTGAAGACCACGTCCACAAGTAGTCCTCCGGCTCCTCATGCACTTCCCACCACAATAAATCGATAAATGTTAAAAAAAAATGATGTGATATGAAAGCAACCAATTGGGGGGAGGGGTCAGAATAAGGAAATCTCTCTAGAGTCTAGAGTCTAGATTGAAGGCACGCCATGACCAAGGCCTAGTGTGGAGCCTCACTTAGAGATGGGACTCAGATCCATTGCCTGTTTTTGCCTGAACAGTGCTGGGCAGGACTGATGAAGATTTTTAGTCATCAGCGAAAGTTTCTGAAGGGTTATTTCATGCCATCTCCCCTTCCCCTTGCCCCCAGAAACAAACCTGCCACAATCCCAGTTCACATGAAGCTTACACTGCTGACCTCCAGCATGACGCAGTGGAGTAGCACTGTGGAAATGGCCCTGGGAGTTCCTCTCCCCTGGCTAGCTGTCCAGTTGGCGGTTACCGGAGCTTCTCTGGGGCACCCTTTTCCGTAGCCGAAAACGGCCTGCGTTTCCGGATACAAGGCCCTGTCCGCTGTTAGCACTGTGGTTCAGGGCGTGAGGACAGTTTTAGATGATTTGTGTTTACCAAAGAGAGGGACACTTCCTGGTTCCCTCAGACCCTCTGCCGTTCTGCTAAGGCAGGTTACCCACGCTATAAGGTAGGAGCCAACGCAATATGCTCTTGGCTTTTCTGTCAGCTTGGTTCCTGCAGCACAGGACCAGCTCCAGGCATTCGGGCAGTTGAGATGTGCGGAGACAAGTCTCCCTTGACAGAAACCGTCAGTTTAATGAGTAGAATTAAAAATGCAAATGGTCGGCTCAACTGTGGTGTAATTAAACCGGAGGAGCGGCTCCCTCAGACAGGGGCTCCCATGCCCTGTTTGTGGTGCTGGGTCCTGTTTATGTCTAGGCAGCTAGCTTGCCTTGGGCTTGCCAAGTGGGGGAGCCCACTTCACTATCTACCTCCTTCTCAGGGGGCTGCGGGGCCTAATGAGGGTGGCTCTGCGGTTCCCTGATGAAAGATGCCGTAAAGTATAAAGTCCTATTACGTAAGTAGGAAACCACACCTCTGCATCTGCGACCCACTAGCCCCAAAGAGAACCCCCGCAGCCTTTCAACCTATTTGTCAATTGCCAGAGGCTCTCTTCTCGGCACAGGTGAAGCAATAATAAGTAGAAACTGGACGTGTATTCCAGGTATTTTAGTCATGTCGATAAAAATACAGTCATACTGCCCCTTAGGCTTCCACTCCCCCTTAGTCCCCCCCCCCCCCTCCGCTCCTGCTCCAAAACAAAACCCCTCTCCCCGGGGGTGGGGGTGGGGTGGAGAATATGCACTTGGCTGAGTTGGGTGTGTGCAAGGTGCAAGCTCAGAGAGTAAGGAAGCTCCTGGTTTGGAGGGAAAGTGCTCGGTGGAAGCGCTTGAGTTACCATGGCGACGGGGGGAGGGGGAGACAATGCTCTTGGGCGCGCCGAACCCGTGTTTGCAGCATTGAGCTTCAGAAGGGGGATTTAGAGATGCAGAACAAAACATAATAAAGAAGCATCAAGCCTAATAAGACTAGGGACTGAAAGAAAGCCAGGGACTTCTGTTTAGACACCACAGCGTTCTTGCGTTGTGGGTCTGGGAAGTGATCCAAGACTGAGGCTTGTTCATTATACCTCCCAGGCCGCAGGCATTCAGAAGGGCTTTCTGCATTGAAATTGCAACTTTTTCTCACCTGGCTGCAAAGAGAACCCACTGAGTTTAGAACAGTATTCAAAGGAAAAGATTTTTTTCTCATTTAAACAACATCCCTTTGTACCTGGTCGATAAGATACAAGTGGGGAAAAAAAAAAAAACCAAATAAATTAAAACAAAAAAAAAAAAGAGCCCAGCTTGAATATTGAGCAAGTTGCCAAAATTGAGCCCGGAACAACCCCGTGGTGTCTTTATTGGGTAA